GAACTTGGGAGGAAACTTTTCCCGGACTTGGAGGTGGAGATGGAACCCCCTGCCCTTGGGTAGGTAAAATTGGTTCTCGTTGAACGTGGATTTTGAAGCCACGCTGACTCTTCTGAACCTGACGGACCTCTTGAAGATCGCGTTCTTGAAGGATAACGCGAGGGTCGCGTTTAGCTTTGGAGACGTTAGGCCGAGGCCTACGTTTGAATGATGAAACTGACCCCTGAGGGTCATGTTTTGGTTGAACGCGCCCCTGGGGGTCGCGTCTAAGTTGAACGCTCTCCTGAGGGTCGCGTTTGAGTTGAACGCTCCCCTGAGGGTCGCGTTTGAGTTGAACGCTCCCCTGAGGGTCGCGTTTAAGTGGTGAAACAGACTCTTGAGAGTCATGTTCTATTGGAACGCGCCCCTGGGGGTCGCGTTTGGTTTTGGCAGCTCCACTCTGAGGGCTGCGTTTTGAAGTAACAACGCGCCATTCAGGGTCGCGTTTCAGCTGTATAAGCCGAGGCTCATAATCGGGCTCGTTGCCACGAAGTGAACGTTCTCCTTTGGGAACGCTAGGCTCGGTTGGATTTTCAGAAACGCGGTCCTCGCGTTGGGTCAGCATTCGGCTCTCACGTAAGTGTGCTCGTCGTATGGATCTTCTCCGTCGACGAGCGGCGTTCTTTTTGGCTTGTTTCAAAGCCTTAGCAGCAACGTCGCCGACGTTCACAGGGCCCGTTTCCTCCAAGGGCCGTTTGTGGCCCGAAGAACATCTTGTTGACGCGGATGTGGGATCTTCCGCCAGCAGAGCCAGTTTGAGTTCTTGGCCGAAGGAGAGGGCTTTCTTCGGCACTTCGACAACAGAATTGACCTTCTTGGAGGTCTCGTGGACATTGTGCTTAGCCTTGGGGCTAAGCGATCCTGAGGATAAGACTTCCTCGTACTTAGCTTGATCAAACTCTATGACAAGAGTTTCTATAGTCGTCCCCATGAGGTGGACGTCGGACTGCGCCACCACTTCCTCATCGGAAAAGCTAGTCCCCAGCAGAGTCGCCATCTTTTGTTTGTTAGAAAAATTACAAAGAAGAGAATAAAGAAAATTGACTTGGATTCCTTTGATCTCGATTACAACTTGATTACAAAAGAGGAGAGAACGAATTTGATTCTCTCCTTTGTTTAAAACTGGGTTCTTCTCGGTAGCGATGGAATGCCTCCTTCGATTGCTCGCGTCGAAATTGCTCTCCGTTGACGATCTGACCGTCTTCTATCTCGTGGGAACGATGAACTTCTGTGGAAAGTTTTATAAGTAACTCTTCAACGAGTTTAAGAACTCTGAACGAGTTAGAACTCTGAACGAGTTAGAACTCTGAAATCATATCTCCAAGGATTTCGCTGCTGCCGTTGAATCGCCAAAACCTGAGTGGTTGAGATCTTCCCCCTCCGATCTTTGCTAACTCTTCTGTTTTTTAGAACTGAAAATCTCCAACCTGTACGGTTTTGATCTTTAGAATCCAACCTGTGCGGTTCAGATGCCCAAAATCCAACCCTTGCTCCGTTGGGTTTGTTGAGCTTTTATAGGGGGGTAGGAGGTTATAACTGACCCCTATATCTGCTCCTACGTGGGCGAACATCCCTCAGAACGTGGGATAAACGGTTTTGGAACCGTTCGACTCATGTTTGAATGAGTCAAACGCCCATTCTGGCGTTCAGAACCCAACTTCGTGTCTTAGGATTGAGACGCGAGGTTGGGTGTTAGCTGAACACCATTGAACGCGAGGGTCACTCGCGTTTATCTTGTTGCCTGCTTGGAAACACGGGGGTCAGTGTTGGTTGAACCCCTATGAACGCGAGGGTCGCTCACGTTTGGCTTGTGCTTTGGAGACGCGGGGGTCGCCTGCCTTTCCATATTTGTAACGCGGGGATGACATCCGCGTTTCAGAAGGAGCTTTTTGACTTGTAGCTTCTTCTGTGAAGCGTTGTGAGGACCGTTGTTCAGTAATCCTGGCTTTAACTGTTATAGGGTATGAAAGTTGTCAGATTGTAACTTTCACTGTAGAATGTGAAGACTGCTGAATAGAGTTTTCATCAGTTGTCGGAAGTGTCATTGAATTGTAACTCTTCTCGATCTATGTGAAAAGTCCTCTATTTCCCGCTTTCGATTGTCAATCCGAAAGCTATTTGATTGTAGCTTTCGTTGTGAGAGCTTGACGGGAATCAACATCCATAGTGTCTTGAAGACGAATATTTGCCCACAACTCTCTACCAAGCAACTCTTTGATTGTATGTTTCGATTGTCGGCGCGAAAGCTATTTGATTGTAGCTTTCGTTGTGAGAGCTTGACGGGAATCAACATCCATAGTGTCTTGAAGACGAATATTTGCCCACAGCTCTCTACCAAGCAACTCACCACCTAAGTCCAACCTTTTCTTTCTAAAATCATTACACTGCTCATCAGCATCTCTAATAGTTGCTAATAATACTATTCATGCTATTGTTGCAGCTATCAAGATCAATCATCTCAGAAGTGAGGTCGTGTTTGTGGCGATTGTGGAGTTGCGTATGCAGTGATTGGGAAGTCGTGTGACCTCCATTGTCGGAGCTTATTTGGATCAGCTATCTATTGTAATTTTTAGACAGCCTACAGGTAGTCGGTAAAGGCTCGTCAAACCCGTTGATGGCTGAGAATTTGCCAAAAATTCTATAAAGTGCGAGTCATTGATGCATCAGCTCCGTTAGTTGGTCTCGTGACTCGATTATCCAACAACATTAAGATAAGATCCACAAATACAGATGAATCAGCTTTAACAGTTGGTCCTGCAGCCTCGACACTTGGGACCACCATGCTCCAATACCTTAAGAGCTTAAAGTGTGTATACTCCAGTAAATATACGAGTATAAACTGTGTCAACGTATGACAATTTAAACCCTAAGGTTAACGCCGGTCAACGCGTAACCCTAGGTCAATGCCAGTCAACGCGTTACGATCAAAAAGTCAACGTACGACGTTCGAAACCCTATGGTCAACGCCGGTCAACGCATAACCCTAGGTCAAGGCCAGTCAACGCGTTGCGATCAAAAAGTCAACTCAATAACACGAGCCAAACTCAACTCATCAGTTTTAGATTTGAGACTTCGACGACAGCCAGACGATAAACGCAGCGCCGGAAGGATTTCAGCTATTCATCAAAGCATCGAGTATGCTGAAAATCGAAGGAGTCAAGAATTGAAGCTAACTACAGGTCCTTTACGCCGACTGAAGGCTGGATCAATCACATCCAAAGTATTCCAGCCTCTTCTACAAAAGAAACGAGTCTGGAACGCTTTGGAAAGGGTATCTGTAGGCATCGAAAATTGCCTATAGGTCTCCACGAACGGCTCAGTGTTAAGAAAAGACGATGAACATCACTATCCAGTTTACAGAAGCTTGATTGACGTCGACAAACGCTTGAAGTGAATCGACGAACTACGTGAAGCATTAGAGTTCCAGAATAACGAGGATACGAATCGATCGAGAGCCCTGCGTCGCCTACAAAAGGCGCTACGCCCCTCGTGTCCCAGTTGATTCCACAGATGATCTAATCATTGGAGCTTATAGAACTCTTCGTCAGCTTTCCAACGCACTTGGAATCACTCAAATCCGAGTTCGGACAAAGAATTTACAGCGGAAGCAAACAAATAGGCACAACGGTGTGTCTCGGACCAACGAGACACCCTAAGGTGTCTCGGCTGAGGCCGAGACACCCTAGGGTGTCTCGGCTCAGGTTGAGACACCCTGGGGTGTCTCCAACATAGAAAAGGCCCGTTATGCGGTTTTAACCGCCCGAAACCTCCTGGAGCTTATAAATACAGCCCCAGATCCTCACTTTTTTCAGATCTGGAATTTTGGAAGATTAGGCGAAGCCCTGCCGGATTGAAGACTGAAGGTGCACGGATTTCAGAGAGGAGGAGGAGAGATCGGATCGAGTTCTTCAACGCAAGAGAGAGAGATTCGTCAGATCTACAGTTTCCCGGATCCGTTCCTTAGGATTATCCCGTTGTGGTAATCTTAAGAAGAGTGATTATCTGCTTCGCCGAGATAAGAGCTACGGTTTTCTCGATCCCTTCGCGGATAGACGAAGCTCTGCCCAATTTTTAAGCCATCAGATCTGATCGACGGTGGTCCACGGATAAACCCCGGCACAGGCAAAGACACCCACGCAAGCAGAAGATCGATAAACGATCTCCCTGCGTTTGTTTGACAAAGTTGTAAACTTGTTTTATTTTCATTGTGTAAGGAGATCTTATAAAAAGATTAACTTTTTATTTTATTCGAGTTTATTGTAATGACTAAAGTTGTAATAGATTCGATAGCAATGAAGACAGCAACTTTCACCGCAAACAGTGTGGTGCAGGACAGATTCTACTACACTCATGGCAGACACCACACCAAGGTGTGGTGGAGTCTGTTTTGGGTTATTCTTCACATTTTTCATAATTCCTTCGCCGTTTTCACAAGTGGTGGAGTCTGTTTTGGGTTATTCTTCACATTTTTCATAATTCCTTCGCCGTTTTCACATACATGTCGATCAAGAAGTATACATGAGTTTTGCAGCGAAAGGTGGGATGGGATGAACCCGACAAACGATCCTCAAACAGGTAATTTACGGCTCAAACACACAGTATATGTAAGTACGCACAGTTGCAGTTTCATGATGCGTTCAGCTCACTGTCCCAAAGAGAGCTTTCTTGATCCTGGGGACAACTAGAAAAAGTGACTATTTGATCACATTTGAACCATCTCAAGTTGTTGACATCTACTTTCAACAATATAGTTTTGATAAAACGTGGTGTAATGCTTGGTTTACATATTTTTGTTTAGAGTTAACCATCATTCCCTTTGAATAGTCGTGCTCACAACATCAAAAAGACAATCAGATCCTTGAGAGGAATGTGGAATATATAATAAAATGGAAATGATTGTTTGGGTTATTTCCTAGAAACACAATGAACAAAATAAAAGGGTCACATGATAAACAAACAGATGATAATGAAGTGTCTCTTTTTATTATACTTTGAAAGACCACACTGATATCTCCAATTTAAAAGTACTGAAATGATCTGATTATTTTCCAAATGTTTCCCAACCTTATTCGAACTTATGACAGCTTCTATGGAGTCAATTCATCCGTCAATAAAACAAGCAACAGTGCATTACAGCAAGCAGAATTAAACCATCACCCAAAAACATCAAGCTCGCAATCAACAAATAGGAATTCTTCAACGCAATCATAGCTTGCTGCGAGATGAAAACTCCTGCTTCACTCGATCCCTCAGAACGCGTCTCAGTAACTTATTAGAAGCTGTTCGAGGAAACTCAGGAACAACTTTGACATGGCTCACCTGTTATCACGACAAGAAAATTAAATTCGTTAACATATTAGGATGGACATGTCTCACAAATGCAACTGTGCGCGTACCTTGAACAAAGGGTTTAGGTTTTTCTGAATGGATTTCTGGAATTTATTCTTCAAGAAATCCGGTTCACAATCTAAAGATCCAGGTTTCAGCACCACCAACACGACTAACTGCTCAGGCCCTCCATTACTTGGACGAATGCGTAAGCAGCAGCTGTTTCCAACACTCTTTCATCTGCCCGATGCCATAACGGTTCAATCTCCACCGAGCTTGTCTATGAATCAAACATGTTATGATTTGCGTTAGATGGATGTTTGCTCGGAAGAGAACAAATGCGTATAGTTGTTACCTTGATCCCTCCCAGATTCATGGTATCATCTGCCCTCCCCTGGATGATATAATATCCACCTACTGTTCTTTGAACTATATCCCCGTGTCTTCTCAGTTTCTGTCAAGAAAATATCATATGAGATAATTACCAACTAAAAGATTCATACGAAGGATATATGTCGTGCTCATACCATTCCTCGATAAACTGGCATTCCATCAAAGTAAACCTTGTTGTGATCAGCATTGAGTAGTTTTTGACTTGCACCCATGTGCAGAGGAAATAAACCCACTTCTCCAACACAAGGTTGATCATCTGGCTGCCATCATTAGATTAAAATTATTACAGGCACAACTTAAACTAGAAACTAGTTCGAATTTTTAAACTCACATAAGGAATTCCTTGGTCATCTAAAATTGCAAACCCTGCTGACATTGATGGAGTGCTGAATGCTCCAAAAGCTTGAGGTTGCAACAAGCTTCCTGCTAAGTAGGATGATGCGAGTTCTGTCCCTCCACAAAGTTCGATAACAGGTTGATAATATGCTCGTGAAGAAAGCCAGAGATCATCATCAATATCAGAGTTTTCACCTGTGGTGCCAAATCCCCTGCAATTTTTCTTTCTTTCTCCTTTTACCCATTTATTAAAATATATGGATTAATTGCAGATTAGACTCAATGTACTATTGCCCCATTGCAGATAGACCCCTGTACTATCACCCAATTGTGGATAGACCCTCTGTGAATTTTTTTTGTCTCGCTTACTCTAGGGAGGTCTATTTGTCAAAACCAAATTTCTCTCTTTCTGAGGGTAAAAGAGTAAAAAATAGTTCACTTAGGGGTCTATCTGCAGCAATAGAACTACAGGGGGTCTATCCGCAATATAATACATGGGGTCTATCTGCAATTAACGCAAGAAAGAACACCAAATATTGATATACCTTATCTTTGTCCAATCAAGTCCTTCCATGCACTTGCTACTCTTCCAGGTTTTTACAATGCTTGGTACTGTACCTAACACTGTCACAGATGCATCCTAAACAACCAAACTTGTTATTTACAATAAAGCAAAAAAGGACGGTGAAATCTAAAAGTATGAAGTATGAATTAATTGGTAAACACCTGAACAAATTTGCCAAAGCTTCGACCAAGAGGAGAACCATGATATAGAGCCAACGCGGCACCATTTAAGAAGGAGGAATACAATGTGGAAGGACCCATAACCCACCCCAAATTTGTAGGCCAGCAGTACACATCTCCTGCTCGCATATTGCAATGCGCCCATGCTTCAGATGCATTTCTGATTGGAGAAAGTTGTGTCCATGGAATAGCTTTTGGGTCTCCTGTAAAGGAACAAACAAATATCAATACGCTGGGGGTGTATTGATATATGAAGCTAACAGAGTGGAGGTGAAAATGTTGCTTACCAGTAGTACCAGAAGAGAAGAGTATGTTAGTCATAGCCTCCATCGGCTGATAAACGGGAGGGTAGTTGACTGGGCTGTCAACATAAGCCTTTTGATTAACTAATTGAAATAAAAACAACATTTACTACGTGAAAGAAATAATATACAGATGCAGCCAGGTGTTTGTTTCAGATAGTTAAGACAATTTTTGATATAACTCAACATCTATTCCTGTAGACCTTTCAGTTCCTCTGTCAGTAAACACAAACTTTGGTGTATGATTTTCCTATTGCCATCAAGTTATGATCCTGCACTTGTTCTACATGTATACCACAGTTTTGTAAAATAAGAAAATAGAACTTTGATGGAGTAATGTATTTGACGTTGTCATTAGATGTATAAGAGTTTTTATTAAGAACTGCTGATATCTCCATCGTATTGGAAAGAAAAGGAATACAGAAAGAGCTGCAGTCAAGTGAGATATCTAGTAGTAGGAGCACTAGACAGCAACTAGTATGCATGAGCGTGGCAAGAAGCATACTTTCTTGTTATTTAATATATACGCGTGCCATAACTTCTAAATTTGCAATTATCTTAAATCATGCAATATTGAAAAGCTACAGCATTCAAAACTCTAATGTTTTAAGGAATTTAAAGTAAAGACAGCAATTCCCACTGATTGATGCCCATTTAAGTGTCTTATATTTCAGTGTTTCATTACACTATGACAGTTCACATAATAAGGACCGAAATTGGAGAGTGGTATGCCAACATACTTTGGTAGAGCAGCAGTGCTCGATATGAAGTCATTCCATGATAAATCATGGCTCCTAAGTGAAACGCCCACATTGTCTCCGCGCACAGGAACAACAATAGCTTTAGATTGACATCCCTCCACAACACGACTGCAATAAATAAAAATAATGAACTCGTCATAACCAACAAAATGGTTTTCTATAGTTGATTCCTATGTAAATATAAAAAAACATTCATGTCCACAGTTAATTTCTCTGTCATATTTGGAAAATAAAAGACGACAAAAATCAAGGGAAGTTTATAAGTATATCATTCGCTGAGAATCAGAGTCTAAAGACAACAAAATGTTTCAGATATTTATTGACATGCGGTGAACTTTTGCTATAAACAACAACTAGAATGTACAATATACTGAAAATTTATACCTGTAGAGAGGAAACTTTTTTCCTCCTCTAATAATGAAATCCTGTAACATATAAAGGAGCCGTCATTGTTAGCACATTGCTGGCACATGAGAAATGGAAAAAACAGAAACATAACCATTCTGGTACCAGCAATGTCTTTTGTTACTGTATCATTAAGACTGAATATCGCAATTCTTTAATAAGGTAGTAAAGTTTACACACACACACACACATATTTTGGAAACAATATGATTTCTATCATATAGAATAGGATGATTGTCCTTTTCCGGTCACTGAAAGCTATGCTTGAATTTCATCGCATGTCTAATGTTGTCTTAGTAGATACAAAAGTAATTATTTGTGAGAAAATAGAAAAGTAATTATTGTTTATAAACCTTATATGTGTATTTGGTCGAGTATTCTCAGGTACATCGCTATTTGATAATCAAATTATTGACATTTCTTATTATGTTTATTTACTTGTTTTAGGATATGGATATGGATTTGGATAAAGGCCTTACGTTCTAATTTTAGGATAAATCAAATTATTACTCCACAGTACATTTGTTCCAGCTATCCAGATTACCTAGAGGATTAATTACTTTATAGAATAGCATAGAATTATAGATTATACACCATGTAGTTTAGGACTACTGAATCAAAAATACTTATTCGAAGGCATTTGCCCGAACAATCATCATTAACTCAATTTCCGCAACTTCAATCAGCCTGGTGCTGAGATTAAATGAAGACTTTGCTCAAAAGCCTTAAGTTATATGCATTAACTTTAGATTGAAATAGATTCCTTTTCATGTTAGAACATTATATATGGAAGGCATTTTTTGCATCCAATACAAAAAGATATTATTATCATAACCTCTGTCATCCTTTACTAGCACTTTGTATAATTCCAAGAGAAACGGCTTGGTGCTTGAAGACACTCACCTGAGTAAATATTCCTTTTGATTTTGTTATTCTCATACGAGTGGCAATCTCATTTGCAGCAAAACTATCAGCAATTGTCACAGCAACATATCCAGCGAGAATGATTGCTAAATATATGATAACTGCTGTCGATGTCATTGGCATATCGATGGCGATCATATCTCCCTTTGTAAATGTCATATCCAGTGCATTAGCTACCAACCTGTTTTTACAGTAGTAGGAAAATTTATCTGCCATATGGAACAAATCGCAAATATTACAGCTTTCTATGATATATTGTAATGCTTTAGTAAGAACGAAGAACAACAAAGAAATGAAACCTAACAATGCAAAAGCCACATACATCACTTGATCGCGAAGCTCTCTGTATGTCAAATAATTAACAGGATCATCGTCAAAACCTTCGTTTCTCCAAATAATCGCCATGCTGTCATCTGTTTTATTTGGCAAATTCCCTGGCAGCAGACAACATTCTGCAATATTCATAATTGCTCCTGGAAACCAAGTTCCCCCATTGTTGGATTTGTCTGAAGTATCTAGAATAGTTTTTGGTGGCTCATGAAATATAAGAGAGAGCTCTTTTATGACAATTGACCAATAGACCTGAAACCGATAAACTTTCCCCTCTCAAGTCAAATATTGCTGTTGATAAAACGAAGTATAAATATTATCAAATAGATCATAAGTCACCTCTGGATGTTCAATCGTGAGCTTCTGGAAGAGAGAAAAGCTTGTAACTGGATCATGATATAATGATCCTAACAGCTTAGGACCATGAATTTCCATCACCCTCCCGAGTTTGGTATCTTTTGAATGTATTCTGGCAATAAAGTAGTAGTACATGTTACTTAAAAACTGTAGGCATTAAGAAAAACCATTTTCAAATAAATATGACTAAGTCATATACGAAACTGAAATCAGAACTACACAATTACTTGATTTGGTTTTTCCCTTAAAAAACACTTGATTTTATTTGGCTCCAATGTTTAATATAATCCAATCTATTGAAGTGTCTAACAATGAAATTTCCTATCAGCATATCGGCATCAATCGACATATGGGGTTATCAGAAATGCATTTCATTCTTTTCCATTATCAGTGTAGCCCAAAACTATCCATACAGCAATCAAAGCCTGAACAAAACCCATTTTTTTATGCAGAATAGAATAATAACCCAAAACTGGAAAAAAAATTAAAATAAAAGGGAGATGATTTTACTTGGAAGGGAACCAATAAGGAGGTGGTCCTCTAACTGAGACATCCCATTCAGCATACACAGAGTAGTAAACCAACTGATGAAGTTCATGAGGATGACTTGGCTTCAACAGTCTTCTCTCCACCAAATCTCTCCATAATTCAGCCTCTGATCCTTCTCCCATGTGAGCTTCAGCCACCCGTCGCAGCTCCTTGTAGAATCCTGCGGCATCCGCTGAGCTCAGTCCTGCTGCTGTTATGTCCTCTGCTGTAATTTCCCATATGCTTGATTTGGCGGCAGCAGCCATGGACGGTGCTCTCTGCCTCTTGCTCTCTCTGAGATCTCCAACTTCCAGGGTTGTATAGAGTTAGGTGGGTACATGTAACTTCTGAAAGTGACAGTGATAATCAATTTTTTATGCAGTAATTGCATTCCGGTACCCCCAAGACGTGGTCCTGCTACTGGGTGACCCTAAAGTTTATGAATCTGCACGAGTAATTTTGAGATTACTAGTTGTAATATATGGGTGACCCAAGAACCCATAGGAAAAGCAACTCTTGATGTTATCCGTGTAATTACAATCCGTAGCCTCAGAATTATCCACGTAGATACACAAACTCCAGGATTATACTGTACTTTTAAGGTACCGGATTGCAATGAATCCATTTTGTATCCATCTATAGGCTTTTTGTTAACAAGTTTGTGAAGGCCTGACTAAAACTGACATGGGTGCTGATAGGTTTAATTTGTATGAATGTGATTTTTTGACTGATTTATCTTATGGGATCCCCAAAAGTGCATCATGGGCTTCTGACATCACTGTGTTTTTTTGCATTTGAGGAGACAAAGAGTGCAAAGTGTGTACGCAATTGCCAGCACTTAATTGCAACTTATTGGTAAGAGGCAAAATTTTAGCATCACTAAACTTCATTCTTTCACAGTCTGGACTTGAAAAAGAAGGGGCATATTCTTCAATTTTTGATACTGGTTACAAAAACTGGGATATGCGCATACATGGACCAAACATAGACACGAGGCTTGGACAGAAATTGAGCTCAGTGAACCCAATCAACAGCCTTTGGACAAGTAGCCTACAAAGCATCATTAAGTACCAACAGTTGCAAGCATTTCATGATCAATTCACTTCATTGTCAAATTTCCAAGCATTTCATTATCAATTATCTCACTGTCAGAACTCCAAGCGAAATCTGTAAGTTTCACACCCTGCACAAGCTCAATACATTCTTGCAAAAAGACTCGGCATGCTCATCAACATAGTAGTTTACTGACAGTAGGAAAAAATCGATACCTGTCATTATTTCAACATTTTACTCTGACCAGCAACACAATAATTTTCACAAAAGTACTCAGGCTGCAGATCGTGACAATACCCACAACCTAATATGCTGAACCAAGAACATGAACGGATGCATAATTTATATTGTAACAAAGACAAGTCATGGCTAAATATCATCATCTTGCAAAATTCCACATACCATACGCCTTATACTCTCATATGGTTTCACCTTGCTCCCTTTGCTCTCGCACTTTACTTAACTAATCGAAATAATAATTTTACATCTCAAACCATATTGTTAACCAGTGAGGCAAGAATGAGCTAAAAACATAATGCAGAGAGCTTTCAGACACCAACACAATAAGAACTCATGTATCCTACCACATTCATGAGTCCAAAGGAAGAAGAACAAAAACTGAGTGCACAAATAACATCAACTCCCACATTAATTGAACAGGGAGGAGGCAGTAACATACAGGTCAATTTCCCTCTTCTAAGCAAATCTAAAGAGAAAACAATCTACTGACATACAACCTACTATTTGACTCTTTGCAAAATTTGACTTCAATCAGACCAAAGCCACTAAATTTTTGAATACAAATGCATCTGGCCTCTATATGTTCAGCCTAAAATCAATCCATTTGTAGTTTGTAGTTTCTATGCGAACTTTTGACATATAATTCTACATACTAAACCAGAGAAGAAGAATCACTAGCGTTATTTGCAAGTAACTCCAGTTTAGAGCATGCAGACTTGAAACACTGTTGATAGGAGCTACGGGTCCAAAAGCAGCATCTCCTGTGCCATTCCCTGTGCTGCTCATAAAAATATAGGGCAGCGTGTTATTTGTAGAAAAAGCAAGAGCTATGATGTTTAAAGGAAACCTCAACTTGAAATGAGAGCATATATTCTTTTTTGATCACTTACCTTCCTGCAAAGATGCATGCTCCATGACCTGCAAGCAAGAGTGACAAAAATAAGATTATACAGGATCACTGCACAAAGATTTCCTTGTAAAAACAGTTAGATTTTGACCACTATTTGCTTGTAAAATAGTAAATATTGTGACATAATGGAGCCACAGTACGGCCCCATCAGCTGGTTCAACATCTTCGAAAGAACAAACTAGGGATGCTACCAGCACCAGCCCGTTACTCCATTTCTAGAAATGTCATTATCAATCCCACACTAATCCACAATTATCAGAATATAAAATGCATCTCTCACTCTCTTTACATATTCCGAGTTTGTTATAGTGGCAGAAATTTTCAGATGAAATACTACCATCTCGGTTGAAATCCCACTGGGTGCTCAATCTGCAGGACATGCTATTAAAAAAGAACACATCCCTTTATCCTCATCACAATTTTTGTGTTTCAGATTTTGAAGATTGGGTATAATGCCAAGGCCTTGATAAGCCACCAAGAAGTTACAATTTTCAGCTCAAGCTGTTCCTTTAATCGAAGATGCTCAAGTTATAAAGTAAAAAAAAACAGAGATGGTAACATCAGTACATTGTAACATATCAACCCACTTAAAGCTACGTTTGGGAGAAATCAACGCAGCCAAGAACGATATTGGGTGAAAGTACTGTTGCACTTATAGAAAGGTTACATGGGCCACCGGGTAAGGACTAGTGTAAAGCAATGACATGAGCACAAAAAGCTTTTCAATTGCCCACACATAAACATGAGAAACAATATTTCATTTGGAAGAAAAAGCTTACTTGGATCAACATTGGTAATCACAGCTGTATTACCAAAATTACAGGTGCCACCACTTGCTTGCGTCCTGTGATAATAATTGTTAAATGCATACGAAGCAATTGCAACGAGATTATCAGATTCATAACACGGCTGCCCTGGCTGAATCGCACTGCAATTTGCTGAACCAGAACCACATGCCCAATCCAATCCTGCCTTCAATGCACCTTTATCTGCACTAGATTTCGCCACACAAAAAACACCAGCTAACCCTGACGAATTTGTAGAAGTATCTTCACCATTATCACCATCATCAAAATTTAGAGTATAAATCTCGGTCCCATTAGGAGAATATATGCCCCAGTTTTTCTCCGATATAGGCCCAGGCTGTAGATCTTCATTGAACAATTCATAGATATATGTATTCAATGATTTATTCGGTTGACTCGGTGTACCCGAACCATTTAATACATGCTTTATAAGGTTGCTATTGTATACTAGAGCATTGTCAACAGTAGCATCGGGTTCATTCGCACCACCGAACGATGGCCACCCTGATGCTGTCACAAGAACCGGGATATTTGAAAAATTCATCGCTTGCATAGAAAAGTATGAAGCATCGACCATTGCATCAAACATGTTGGTATATTGAAATAGTGTGTTTGGGTCCACAATTTGATTATTTGGAGTTAGAGACCTAAAAAGAGCATACTCTATAGGAAAGATATGTGTTTGGGTCCACAATTTGATTATTTGGAGTTAGAGACCTAAAAAGAGCATACTCTATAGGAAAGATACCGTTTCCTTTTATGTAACCGTGATATGGTTGTGCATTTAGCATGTAAGTAGATCCCGTATTCTTCAAGAATTGGAGGAACTTAAACATTATAGAGTCCCATGAAGAATTGAAGGTGGCAGTAGATGGAGGGAAAGATTTGGGGATCATGTCCATGGATTGAGGACTCGAGATTTTCACTTGGTGATTGAGGTCGGCAGCTACAAGAGCAGACTGAAGGAATTGCATTGCTGGAACAAAAACAAGAGCAGCATTTGGGATTGATGTGAGGACTTCATTGCCAACAGCAATATATGTGATGTTAGTTGATGGGAGATATGGGACTATATTTTTGTTGATCCAATCGGCTGCTTCTGTTCTTGATTCTCCTATTTTTAGAAGCTGATCGTTTGGTACACCAACCATGACCTCAATCCCGGTGTTTGCGAGAGCAGTTAGTAATTGATGGTCAGCATCATGTAATCGTACATGTTGTATTTTTTGGTCTTTAAGGATTGATATTATATCTGATGCTGGTGGTATGTTGGAGATATCCAAGCCGATGTTTACTCCCACGAATGCGCCTACACAAGAAAATGAGTGAAATTGGTATTCTTAGACGTTAGACTGGAAGTACGCATTCTGTGAACAAGTCAAGCTTTAAAATGTACATAGACGCAAAGCATTGAAATATTAAAATCATGAATATGTGAATATGTCCTGAGATAAGACAAGAAATGAGTGCATTCATAAGAGGTTAGATGTTGCTTCTATTGAGGACGACTGAGAAGGTTTGGTGATAAGATTATAGTTCATCGGGACAAAGAGGAATATAGGTAGACCTAAAAGAGCTTGGTTGTGAGCAATTAAGAAGATAATGATAAATGTTAACTTAATGGAGGAGATGGCATGTAATATAATTGAATTTGAAGAATAGATTCATGTAACCGACCACAAAAATTTGGTATAAAGCATTGAAATAAATCCACTTAAAGGAGGAGATAGACACTATGATGAAAATTAACTTAACGGAGGAGATGGCATGTAATATAACTGAATTTGAAGAATAGATTCATGTAACCGACCACAAAAAACTTGGGATAAAGCATTGAAATAAATTCACTTAAAGGACGAGATAGACATTATGATGAAAATTAACTTAATGGAGGAGACAACAAGACAACCTATCCCCACAGTTAGAAGTGAAGTTGCATACCTGACACATCTGAGATGAAGAACAGAAGTAATAACACAACCCTTTTCCATCTTTCATGCAACATTGGACTCAACAACCTTCAGAATCGCGACAATGGAGGCTCACCAAGTACCTTCTCTGAAGTGTGTAAACCTTTTGAAACTGACAGCACGAAGGTAGTACAAAAAATCAGTTGACATGTTGAACAAAGTAAGACAATGGTCAGGTATTTTATTTATCTGATACAACAAATTGAAAAAGGGAGATATGTATTTTAGATTAAGTTACATATTACATGACAAACGAACTACAGAAACCTGGACAGCCTTCAAATTGAATCAATGTTTGGAAAATTGCGAGAATAAGCGTGTAGGTAAAGTTGGAACCTGGACAGCCTTCAAATTGAATCAATGTTTGGAAAATTGCGAGAATAAGCGTGTAGGTAAAGTTGGCCTCAGCCATGCGAGTTAAGCTAATGTACTTAATATAAACACTGCTGAAAGTAGTAATGAAGACCTTAGCAAAATAGAAGATCAGAAACTCAAGAAATTTTGACTTGAGGAAACAAGAATCGGGTAATGTAAGAACTAAGAACTTCTGTTTATAAAAAATATATATGCTTTGAGAGAATAGATACCCTAACACCCAACATTCGACACTCTTTACCACTAAATAAAACTATTAACCTGGGTTTTCTCAAAAAGAAAGATCATTTAGAAGGAAAACCCAGCAATATTACAATCTCTAACGTATATAAAACCATTTAATATATGTTGTGGTTTCTCTGTTGTTTGCCTAAACTTACAAATCTAGTATACTTATTAACTTTGCCCAAGCTACAACTTCTATCTTGAGAGAACCTAAAGTTACAAACTTTGTATATGGGGTGTAGTTCATCTCAAACACCAGCAGAATCCATTAACATATTGTAACTTATAGACCATTTAAAGCTAAAATTGATACATCAACAAAAAGCCAAGGAATGCCTTAAACCTATGGGTTCAAAGAACATGCATAACCCCCAAATACAAGATACACAACAGATTTTGATCTAAAGATGACATCTTTGAAGCTTAAATCTAAATACAGTGTCAAGGCAAGCTATAAAACAAACTTAAAATGAGTAAAATAAATTAAATTAAAAAAAGGCGAAGTTGAAGTTTCCCCAAATCTACCCTCTTTCACAAACAACAAACAAAATGGAGCAAAACCCAGAAAGTAATCACCTAAAACATCAACAACCCACATCACAAATGCTGGAAAAAAAATAGCAAAAATATTAGAAGAAGAAAAAAAACCCACCTGATTCAAGACTCTCTCTTGCAAGAGGAGAGCCCAAAAACCCTCCAAGATCAAAACTTTAGGAGCTCAGAAGATGAAGCAAGTAAGTGGGAATCTCTCCTGGGTCTCTGAGAACTCCGGAGAAAGAACAAAGGACTGTACTGGAGTGCTAATAAAAATATAGAATCCCAAGAGTTTTCTCTACATATTTGAGTGTTCTTAGCTGGCCCTGTATCTTTGTAACTTTGTTGCTAGTAAAAAAAAAGGACAGGTGAGAAAACAAAATTTTGAAAAATAAAGTAAAAAAAAAATGAGATTCATTATTTAATTTTGTCTGTTTGTTTATCTGATATTAATTATGAGGATCTCTTCGGTGTTCGGAACTGTTCAATTTATAATTGTAAAATAATTACACATTAAGTACACCCTTTTTTTGGTTGGGTTCAAGCAGTAACCATGGGCGATTTCTATTTGTAAATGGGTCGGATGAGGTTTAGATTTGGATCAAATTTAAACATGTGATACATTAAAATTTATGCTCATTTTCTCTAGAATTTTCTCTTATTTTACTAATTAAAGTTGTGCAAATACAATAGACATATAGAACAGTTTTTTACTACTTTCATTTGAACGTAAACATATTAAATTTACTCCCCGTGACAAGTTTATCCGTAATCGAGTGTTAATGATAATCACTTGCATGAAATGAATAATTAAATATATTTTAAAATATTTGGGAAAATTGTGTCAATGCTCCAAAAGCAACATTTTCATGTGTTGCAGCCCCTTCACTTCATCTCCATGTGGTTCAGCCCAAAAAAGTGTGATGTATTGTGCTGAAGTTCTCTTTTAGCAATTATTACCTGCCAACTAAGCATATAGAGAGGATAAAAAGTAAAAAACCTCAAAATATCCTTATCTACTCTATTTTTTTATGTTAGGTCTGTTTAGAGTTCGTGTTAGGTCTATTTAGAGCTCTTGTTAGGTCTAATTTCAGCTCAATGTAATTCATATTGAGTCCAATTTAATGTTAAGCCTAATTTCATGTTAAGTCCAATTTAAGTCTAATTTCATGTTAAGTCTAATTTAATTTCTTTTAAGTCTAATTTAAATCGTGTTATGTCTAATTCAACTTGTTTTAAGTCTAATTTAATTGGATTTAATATGAAATTAGACTTAAAATTTAACATGATTTAAATTAGAATTAAAAAAGAATTTAACATGATTGAAATTAGACTTAAAAATTCGTGTTAGGTCTAATAAAAGTTCGTGTTAAGTCTAATTCATGTTAGGTCCAATAAAAATTCGTGTTAAGTCTAATTTCATGTTAGGTCTAATAAAAGTTCGAATTAGTTCTATTTCGTGTTCGTGTTAGTTCTAACTCATGTTAGGTCTAATTGGTGTTCATGTTAATTCTATTTTCATGTTCGTGTTGGTTCTAACTTAGTTCGCGTTAGTTCTGACTCAGTTCATGTTAACTCAAATCGTGTTAGTTCTAACTCATGAATTAGAACTAACACGATCTGTGTTAGTTCTAACTCAGTTCGTATAGTTCTAAATCATGAACTAACACGAACACAAAATAAAACTAATATGAACACCAGTTAGACCTAACATGAGTTAGGACTAACACCAACACGAAATAGAACTAACACAAACTTTTATTAGAACTAACACAAGCTTTTTATTAGACCTAACATGAAATTAGACTTAACACGAATTATTAGACCTAACACGAATTAGACTTAACACGAACATTTATTAGACCTAACACGAATTTTTAAGTCTAATTTCAATCATGTTAAATTCTTTTTTAAGTCTAATTTAAATCATGTTAAGTTTAATTTAATTTTTTAAGTCTAATTTCATATTAAGCCCAATTAAATTAGACTTAAAACAAGTTGAATTAAATTAGACTTAATATGAAATTAGACTTAAATTGGACTTAACATGAAATTAGACTTAACATTAATATGGACTTAGTATGAATTAAATTGAGCTGAAATTAGGCCTAACAAGAACTCTAAATAGACCTAACACGGACTCTAAATAGACCTAACATGAAAGAATAGAGTAGACAATGACATTTTGTGCTTTTTATCCTCTCTCTATGCTTGTTGGCAGATAATAATTGCTAAAAGAGGACTGCAATACAAGATATCACACTTCTTGAGGTTGAATCATATGAGGGAAAAGCGAAGGGGTTGCAACACATGAAGATGTTGTTTTTGAGGTCTTGGCATAATTTTCCTTAAAAAAAGGTGTGTATTTATCGGAGGAGAAAGAAAGCGAATTGCTACGTTTCATGGACCGCATGGGCCCCACAAATGCGCGACTGCTGACTCATGCAGACAGCTGGAGTGGACCCCATTGGGCTTTAGTCCGCACACAGCCATTCCCATTAAAATTGGGCCGTTACTGTATTTTTTAATCTCACTGAAAATCCTATGAGATCGATGATGAGCTCATCAAAAGCAAGCTCTCAAATCCTGCTGGTAATCATTGTCTGCATCATGAGGTTTAAGAAATATATATATATTATATATATATAAATATACTATATATATTATATATATATGGAAAAAGCTCTTTGGCTCGCGCTTTAACGCGCGAGCCAACTCGCGCATTAAAACGCGAGCCAAATAGCGGAACCATATATATATATATATATATATATATATATATATATATATTATATATATATATATATATATATATATGGAAAAGTGATCTAAAGGTGACACCCTAGGCTCCCACCTAAGGACGCCGGTCTAAAATCACATCATTCCCTTTTTTTTTTGCGATGCGCTCCGTTGAACTTGATCTGCACATTCTAAACCCAAACACACAATTTTGGGGTGAACCCGTCATGTTTTGACCAAGTCGTTGAGTCTCCAAAAAGTTCTATTCATTCGAAACCATATAAAATTGCGGCGAGTGGATGAAGGGTCAAAACACGACGGGTTCACCCTAAAATTGGTGTGTTTTAGGTTTAAGAACGTGCAGATCAAGTTCAACGGCAGCGGATCGTAAAAAAATATTTAGGGAATGATGTGATTTTAGGCGCGCATCCTTAGGTGGGGCCTAGGGTGTCACCTTAGATTCACTTTTTCCATATATAATTATATATTATATATATATATATATATATTATATATATATATATATATATATATATATATATATATATATATATATATATATATATATATATATATATAATATATATATATATATAATATATTTCATGATCATATTATCCATGAGACTGGATTGTGTCTTATGAGATATAGTGTCGTATATTAATCTATTTTTTATAGGATAATTCGCAGATAACCTTCATCATATCAGGAAATTATTATTATTATTATTACGCTAAAAGTATAAAACATAAATTATGATGTAGCAATGTCTGTGAACAAGGTAACCTTTGAACTAGGATAAAGTTTTCTCTCCCCCCTTTCTAATAAAACGCTATTAAAAGTTGTTTAAGAAAAGAAAAGATGATAAAGTTCGGAAAAGCGAACAAAAAAAAAGTAGCTTGTTCAAGTGGACTCGTGGGCTACGTGTATTGAAAGCTGAAACGATATAAACTTTATCCTGGTTCAAACTTTGGACTAGTTTTTTATTTATGGTCCCAATATGAGTGATGAAGGCAGGTTTTCAAGGGAAAAAAAGATGACAGAGAGAGAGAGAGACAAAGTCTCCTGCTGGAAAGAGGCACAGCATGGTGCCCCTCACTAAAGTTGGGTCCACGAAAAATATTCTCCTTTTGTGTTATTTCCTCGAAAGGAAAAATTTTCAAAATAGACCTATTTTGCTAAATATTTAGCGAAACAGACTGTTTTGCTAAATATTTAGCAAAATAGACCTCTTTTGATCAGACCCTAGTTTTGAAACCTAGCCTAATTGTTGTCAATAAAAGGAAAAAGAAAGAAAAACAAACTAACCCAAAGCTTAGTTCAATTCTGACCAAAGTTTAAGGGTGTGTTTAACAATCCTTCAAAACCGGGCCAGGTTCAAAACTGACCTCGTTTTGAAAGTTTTTTTATTTGGCAAACAAGAGGGCCTGTTTTCATTGCCCAACTTATAACCTCTAAACCAGTTTTCTTTTGGACCGGGAGGGGCAGGGTTTCATTTGCCGATATAGGCCCATTTGCACAGTAGTTCAACGAAATGGGCCAAAATCTGAGCCCGAACCATTTAAACCAACAGATCAGGTCACCCCAACGCTATCCGGATTCGCTTCTGTTGGAAAATTTACCTCCAGTCCAGATTCAACATGAGAGAAGCTTCACGAAGATAATATAAAATCAGGGCTGCTTTAGAAAATCAGGAAAAAAATATAAGGCCGCAAGCGAAAGGGAAACGAAAGAGCGAGAGCGCGAACGGGGGTAAATTTTAGGGTTTCCTTTTGAGGTAAATTTCTCCAACGAGATTAGGGTTCCTAGTCCAATTATTTCAGTTGAATCGTCTGTAATTTGTTTGTTGCGTCTACAATCTTTGATTGCTAATTGAAATTAGGGTTTCTGTATCACCTATTCTCGGCCAACTGATTCGATCGATCTCGTTATTGTTCGTGTAAGAAAATCTAGTTGAAGAAATCTTTTTGACTCTTGGTTTCTCCTATCCCTGAATTACTATTGCAATGCAAAACAGCAAAAGCTGTTATTTTGTGTGGAAGGGAAAAATATTTTTTTATTTTAATGAAAATAATTTGACGTATGGCCGAATCATTTGATTTGAACAGGAGTAGAGCTGTAAAAAATTTGAACTTGAGTTATATTTGTTGGGCTATTTTTAATAGTCTTGATTTCACTTAATTCTTCGTGTTTCTTATGCAAATCTCTCTCAAGATTCAGCGACCTTTACTATCTTCTTATTGAGTTATTACTACATCTCATGTAGAGGTTGATTTATTTATCAGTAGAATGAGGGGAAGAAGTTACAGTTACAGTCCTTCACCTCCAAGGAGTTATCGCAGAAGAGGCCGGAGCCCAAGTCCTAGAGGTCGTTATGGAGGACGTAGTAGGGATATGCCAACAAGCCTCCTTGTTCGGAACCTTCGTCATGGATGCAAGTAAGTTCTGCATGTCTGAATAGTTTTAGGATTTGACTGTAGTTTCTTTTAATGGTTTATGAATGTTGCAATACTAGAACGCCTAGAAGATCTTTGTGGGCTAGCAAATCTTGTTTGAGAAAGTTTATCTTGTATTGATAATATCAGCTGTACCATTTCTTAAACTGGAAAATACGTGCCTTTATGGATGCTATTCACCAAACAAGAACAGTTTTTATATTCTTTTTATTGCTTGATTCATGAAATGGCTAGTTTAATTATTGATTTACATCCCAATATCCCATGTCTGAATAAAGCGTTGTGACTCCTTGTAATTTTATATTCCTCAATGTCACACCAGCTTTGTGACTGCTCTGTTGCCTTGTGTCTAATAAGCGATCCTATATAAAAAAAGAGATAGTGAAAGAGTGCGCGCTTTAGCAGACTTCTAGATTTTACAATAGTCAAATAATTATTTAATTGATTTGCTACTGCAGTGAGGTGTCTATAATGTGGTAGGGTATATATTCTGAAAAAAATATCTTACGCGGAATTGTGGATAAATTAGCTATGATGTATTTGACTATTTATTTCTTCAAATGCAGACCGGAGGACCTTCGTAAGCCATTCGGACAGTTTGGACCACTAAAGGACATATATTTGCCTCGTGACTATTACAGTGGGTAAGCAAAGTATTTCAGTTTCTATTGTTTGATTAGGTTTGATGTCTTAACTGTGCATGCGGACATTTTTCATAATTGAATTCCTATCTAGAAGTTATTTTTTTGGCTGCATTGTTAGCCATCCCATTATTACCAACATGGTACATGAAAATAAAATGGGATATATGACGCAAACACGGGATATGCGGTCTTAAAGAATGCGAGGCACACATATAGGAATATTTTCTGACAAAACATATAGGTGCATATTCATATGTATGTGTCTGCATTTGTATTACAGCATGCTCAAATTTCATATATTTTGAATTTAAGGTTGCAATAAATTGTTCAAGCAAATTTATTGATTTTTATACAATGTAAGAAATAGGTTTATACAGCAAGGAAGTGTGGAGCTTGAGAATTAAAAAAAAAAGTTAATAGAACTCTTATCTTAATATAATTCTTACTAATGTACATACAATTAATTTGCTGTTATCATTCAACAATTTATAAATTTGAAGTCATTGTAAGTAATATTTCAATAACTTTCTTATACATAAACAATTCATCGAATATGTTTTATTTTTTCAAAATAATAAAAACAATGCCTTCTATTTTTATATGAATTAAATAATTATTAGAAAAGTGTTGAACAAAATTCTTAATATTAATATAGCATACAAGAATTCCCTGTAAGTATTGAAAACATTTCTCATATGTTCGAAATATGGCATGCTGTCTGTGAAGGAAACTGTGGACATGAGTAACCCCTCCATATATAGCTTGTCCTGAAACTATGAGCCGACCCCAAAAGTTTGGGAGAAGAGTTTTGTTACTGTTGTTACTTTAAACTTCACTACTGCATATTATAGATTATTTGAACTGCCGTGAAACTTTTGCATGTCCAGATTAATTAATTAATTATTTTTAGTGGTACTTCTCTCCCTTACTTTCCGCAAATTGCATATGGGTTTATTTATTAAGGCTGTTGAGATTTAACAGTGAAAATAGAGTTTTGAAGACACAATTCAGGTTTTAAGAGGTATGGTGAAGAGGATGTTAGTAGTTGTGAGGATATTGGCTGAAGTGGGAAGAAAATGAGTTTGAAGTTTAGTTTGAAGATTTTCAAGTGAAGAATTTGAAGTCATCTTTAAACTCTGAAGAGGCAAGGTTAGCAGCCAAGTGCTTGCTTGTATTATATCAAGTGCACCTATTGAAACACTTTCTTTTAAGTCCTAAATATTGTTTTTGTAAATCACCTGGATCTCTCTCATTGACTGCTTATTTTGTTGCAGGATTAATTAATGGCTATATTGTAGAATTATCATAATGTTTCACCATATCTACAAATTAATACCTTGTACCGATCTGTTTACACTTAAATATATTTCCTTTTCTTTAAGGTACAACTACGCATGCCTTTGTTGCATAGTTTTTTTATCCTGTTTCTTTTTCCAAGGATGTGAAAGTTTGGGAGATATCAAACTTGAGAATCAGAAATTGAACTATTTGCAAGTATTGCTTGTACTGGGAATTTTGGAGTAGATTTTGATTTTAATTGTCTGGTTGCACACTTCAAAGAAGATTTCTTAGGAAAAATTAGGAGATTGAGATTTTTGTAATACAAAATTTTTTAGTTCTCTAGGACATTTAGGGGCTGTTTGGTTCAAATGCCAAAATTTTAGGATTTGTAATCTCATAGAAAATTTCAAATCCATAAGGTTTTATACATGCTTTGGGATTTCTAATATTTTGTTTGATTCAAAATTATTATAGGAAAACAAATCCTACAATTTGTGATATCTTGTTTGATTCGTACCCAAATTACAGGATAACAAATTGTAAAAAAGAAGGAAAAGCGAGTATATTTACCTTGGTGAGATTACCTCCCACAAAAAAAATAAGGGTATAGAAAGAGGGGTAACCATACCCATTTATGGGATTTGCCAAATCTTCTCTCCAATTGAGAGGATTTAGCAAATTCTAATCGTGTGCTTTTTGCACTTTTGGGATTCAACATTCTGAAAAAAATTTATTGAAACAAACATCACCTATGGAATCCCAAAACCCAAAAAAACATCACTTTTTGATCCCAAAATTTGTAATCCAGACCAAATGCCAAAATTTTATTTGAACCAAACAACCCCTTAGATTATAATAGGTGAGAATTTTTAGGCTCCAAGTGGATATTGGAGTTGAGAGGTGGGTGTTGCTTGGAACATAACATGTGATACATTTTGGTCATAGAAAATATAAGAAGAGGAATAGTTTAAAGGTTTGTCCATTTCTCTTCTAGATATGGTTTTTGGTGGGTTATTCTTTTTATTCTTTCATTTATTTTTTTTCATCATTTATTTTTTTAGGGTTAATTACTTAATTGCAGATAGACCCCTGCAGTATCATTGTTTTAAACTTACATGCTCCTGTGGTTTCATCTCATTCAGATAGACACCCTAGGTACAATTTTTTGACTCTATTACCTGGGTGACATTTTGGCGGATAGTACCCCTGGGTAAAATTAGTGAGTCTATCTGAGGGTAAGATCTGAGGGTAAGAGAGATTAAAAAAAAGAGGAAGAAGAAGAAGAACACCCAGGGGGTCTATCTGTTAAAATGAAACTGCATGGTAAAGCAAACGATACCACAGGGGTCTATGTGCAATTGACTCTATTTTTATGATTAATTGATTTTTTGGGGTTATGATTTAGTAAATGAGATGAAGAATCAGGAAAGGATCAATGAGTCTATAGGTAACAGATAGAGGGTGAAAATATTAAAAAGGTCACATGCTAGAAAGTCGGCTTAATATTACCGTGTGTAGCTACTAAAGTATCGGTATTGGTTTGTAAATCGGTGAAACATTGTGGTAAGCTTCTTATTACAATTTAGCCATTACTAATTATTGACTCTCTTTCTCACAAGATCAATTTTGTCCACTGCAGGGAGCCTCGTGGATTTGGCTTTATTCAATATGTGGACCCAGCTGATGCAGCTGAAGCCAAGTACCAAATGGATGGGCAAATTCTTCTAGGTCGTGAATTAACTGTTGTGTTTGCAGAGGAAAACAGAAAGAAGCCAGCTGACATGAGGGCAAGGGAGAGAGTCAGGTAGCCTTATAATAACTTCTCACAGCATTGGGTTTTTAATAGTGTGGGATCTGATTTACTGTGTATTTCATTGTAGTCTTTTCATGTCTTAAATAACCTATATAACATAAGGAGCAAAATTGACCGGCGCGAAGCCATGGCATTAGCGTGAAGAAGCCAAAAAATAATGGTTTGAATATTTGATCTAAAAATACGCCCAATATGTAACCACTTAGAAAAAAAATTATTTCAGGGGAATATTTTGGATCTAAGAGTGATTTGGAAGTGGATGGTTTAAAAGTAAATGGACAACACAGGTCTTCATTATCGTGATTCTAGTATGTGCATGCAAGAATTTTGATTTTGCACTTGTGACCGTCTGTTCTTATGTGGTTTTTTATTCTTTCAAATATTTATCATTTGTTTTTTCAGTACACGATATGATCGGAGATCTCCCCGCCGTTCTCGTTCCCATCGATATTCTCGCTCCCGTTCCCCAAGATATTCTCGATCCCCGCGACGCGGTAGATCTCGCTCTCGTAGTCGCAGTTACTATTCTCCTTCACCGAAGAAGCAAAGCTGCTCTCCTCCTCCGAGGAAGCAAAGCTACTCTCCTTCTCCGAGGCAGCAGCGGGAGTACTCGAGGTATATTTTTGTTGTTAGTTATTGGGTAAATTTTGGAAAACCCTCCTTTCACAATGGGCATTTCTCATATAATCCCCCTCATTTTTAAAATGTCACGAAACCCTCCTTCAGTTTTGGGTTCTTGGAAAAGCCCATTTTAACTTTCAATATTTTTAAAAAACCCCTATTTGCATTTACCACAATTTTCACATGGGTGGGCAAAATTACGCAGGGGGATAATTTTCCCTTAGTGGAAATTGTGGCTAATGCAGTTAGGTTCTCTTTTTTCCCCTTTTTTGGGAAACTGTTGAAAGTTGGAAGGGTATTTTCTGAGAACCTCAAAGCTTAAGGGAGTTTTTGTGACACTTTAAAAGGAGCGCACAAACTTGAGAGCTGGTTTTGTGAAATTTTAGCTTAGTTATTTTGCACAACATTCTTGGTCCAAGGATCAATCTCATACATTTCCTTTGGTTCTTGGCTGCAGGTCGGTTTCACCTGATGAAAGGGCGCACAGGGAGCGATCGGATTCACGTTCTCCTCCTGTAGACAACAGGTTGAGGAGCAGGAGCCCTTATGAGAATGAAGAGCAGAGGGAGAGGTCTCGCTCTCTGAGCCGATGAAGCCCAGAGAGAGCCTGACTATTTTCGGCTAGTGAGATGAGGTTTTAGGGTTGTAGTGAAGGGGGATGTTTGGACTTGGATTTTATGATGATATAACTGAGGACATCATATATCTTTAATGTACCTCTGTTGAGGTAACCAAATGTATTTTGCGGTTGGCATTTGATCTGTATTATCGCTCTTTGTTGTATGCAGTTCAAGTAGGTGATGGACGGCAAATACTCTTTTGTGCTTCCTGTTTTTATTTTATGACGGGATGTTTGAAACTGATGAAAGTTGGGCAATTATCATCGTGAAAACAGATGCTGATTTTTAAGTTGGTTAAACTTTTAAAAGGCGAGGGTTCTTATGAAATGTTTTATTCATTTTGTAACTAAATTCATCCTTAAATTGTGGGAAAAAAAGATGTTTTTTCTTTTTCGCATCCTTGATGTTGTATTACACGTAATGTCTAACTTATTATCGGACACAAATTTACCGCTTTTATTTGCATCCGTTTATCATCTGGAAAAAAAAGTTGTGCTTCTTGACCGAATAATGATTCAAACTGTATTTTGGAAAATGAAGAAATCTTACACCGGCAATGGCAACGATGGTCGCGACGTGTAGACTTGTGGTTCTGCGGTTAAAACTCTGAGTCACCGCTACGCGACGTTATCCGCTATCGATAAACGACGTTATCCGCTATCGATAAACGGTGAGGTATACCTTGCTGAAAGGTATTGTTTTTGAGTTTTTCCTGTCGGAGGGTCAGAAAAACTAGTGCTGGTTCGTTATGAATAAATATGGCTTGGAATATCTAGGCCATTTTCAGCACAGATATATATGCTACATATGCACCTCGAAACGAATGTGAATTACAAATCATATGAGCGGAACGGGTTTTTCCCAAGGCCCCGTGACTCCTCTGTATCGAACTCTATATAGAAGGATTACTTATTGCCATTTCTGGGAAGAAAATTTTCATGATTTTGCTCTTGAATCTTGATTCCGAGCGTCCTTTCTCATTTCCAAGAGGCTTTGAGAACGATAAACTTCCGAGGAGAGAATGAGTAGCTGAACATTTGGAGAATCAATATGGTAATCCTCCCGGGGTAAAATTACCACCTGTTTAGTTCTTATTTAGCGAAATAAGCCACGGTAGATTTTTCACTGTTATTTTTTCTTTTCCTCCCATAATAACTAGGGAGGATGTTAGGAAACTCCTCCTAACATCCTCCCGAGTAAATTTTTTGATTCTTTTACCCTCCTCAAACAAAGAAAGAGAAAATTATTTCCCAACCGTAATCGGGCTACAGTATAGGGGGAAAAGTAAAAAAAAAAAAGTCACTCACACGGTCTACCCGCAATTGGGCTACAATATAGGGGGTCTATCGGCAACAGTAGCACAACCACAACTATTATTCCCGCCTATACGATCAGCTCAGTTTCTTCATGTTCTTTTCCCAACCGTAGATGTGGTTGCGTTGCGTGCAAAGCCTCTTGAAGCAAAGGCAAAGAGGGAGTTGATTCTGTTGTAAACCGCGCTCTTCAAAGTCTTCCTCGCGAAAAAACACATTTAAGTTTATCTCAAAGCCAGCAATCCTTTAGAGTTTGAATGTGGCGTACCTGATTTTTTGGAATATATACCACGGGATTATCCTAAGAGAACAGGTGTTTTGAGTGTTTACGTTGATCAAGTAATTCATCGAGAACCATACTAATGTGTAAAGTTTAACATACTTAGAGTATAATATTACAATTCTCAGTATTCATCGCTTTCAAAGCATACATGACTGAAGATTTCCCTTGCATCTTATTCTTGCTTAGTGTCCTCCTCCAACAACCACAGAAGCAAAACAAACATCAAAGCAAAGAAAACAAAAGGAGAAAACAAGAGCAATATAGATCTCATTAACACATCACGGGAGAACAAAAGGTGAGCCTGAACTAATTACATCTACAAAAACTATACAAAATTGTGAAAGCATGAACAACACTACAACCACCAAGCTCTAGCAGAAAACACTCCCTCTTATCCCCACACTCACACAACATGGAGAAAATCTCGATCTTCAGGAGCTGGTCTAATGATCTTTAAAGCCACCAGAATTATCATTCACCTGGAGAGTAGTCTTCCCTCATTCTTACAAAGAAAGCCCCGCAAAGAGCAGTTCCAGTTCCTCTTCTTGCGAGATAGTCCTCTGACATACAAACTCGCATGAAAAACAAGCATGTACAGCTTTCGGAAGTTAAAGGCATAACAGGTCGCGTTCTGAAATGAATTAGACTACTACGAAACTGCTTATAATGGCGACCAGGCAATGACATGATAGTGCACAATAGAAGCCAAGATCCGTATGGAAGAAGAGATGACGAGTACATTTACTCAGCAAATACTTAGAAAAAAATTAGATGAATTTAGCCCAAAGGTAATAATATTTATATTTACAACACTATTGCCAAACAACTGTTAAGGGGACTAACATCTAAATAGCACTCCACATTACCACCTTATATGATATATTAAATAAGATGAACCATGCCCTCAACTTCACCATATTGACAAATGATTAACCTCAAATACAGAAAGTGACTACTCCTAGGTATTTCTCAACCACCACCTATATGTCTTGTGCGTTCATTTGTTTTCACTGTTTTACTACAATTTATATTGTATATTGTATATTGTATATTATTTAATGATAACCAAACAAATGAGCAAAATAGAGATTTTGACCATATAATGAATGATAGAAACTATAGATATTATCGTAAAATTAGGATTAGTCAGGTTAAAGATGCTCTAAAGAAAATGAAAAGTGCACGAGCCGTAGGACCGGACGATATCTCTATCCAAGTTTGAAAATGCCTTGGAGATATAGACTTAGGATGATTAACTAAACTATTTAATAAGATCATCGAGACGAAAAGAATGCCGGATGAGTGGAGGATTAGTATTTTGATACCGATATATAAGAATAAAGGGGATATACAAAGTTGTTCAAATTATCGAGGTATAAAACTCATGAGTCATACTATGAAACTTTGGGAGAGGGTAATTGAGCAAATGCTAAGAAAAAAGACGTATATCTGAAAATCAATTTGGTTTTATGCCCGGGAGGTCAAGTATGGAACCTATACATATTTTGAGACGGTTGATGGAGAGACATAGAGAAAAAAGAAGGATCTACATATGATTTTTATCAATCTAGAAAAAGCTTATGATAGAGTACCTAGAGAGGTAATGTGGTGGGTATTAGAAAAAAACATGTATCTAGTATATATATTGATGTGATTAAAGATATGTATGATAGAGTAACAACTAGAGTAAGAACTAATGAAGGAGAGACTAAACCATTTTCTATCACCATAGGTTACACCAAGGAACAACTTTAAGTCCTTATCTTTTTGCATTAGTTATGGACCAACTTACTAAGCACATTCAGGATGAAATCCCATGGTGTATGTTATTTGCTGATGATATAGTATTAGTTGATGAAATTAGAAGAGACATTATTTCTAAAGTTGAAATATGGCGACAAACTCTTGAGTTTAAAGATTTTAGAATTAGTAGAACAAAAACAAAATATATGGAATGCATTTTTAGTAAAAGTAGGAAAGAAAGAAAGCCTATGGTACATATTATTGACCAAAAAATACCTAAAACTAATCATTTTCGCTATCTAGGATCTATCATTAGGCATAACGGTGAGATAGATGATGATCTTATGCATCGAATCAAACCGGGATGATTGAAATCGAAGAGTGCTTCGGGAGTCTTATGTGATCGTAGAATACCAATGAAACTAAAGGAAAATTTTTATAGGACGGTTATAAAACCAACTATGCTTTATGGGTCAGAATGTTAGGCAATTAAAAAACATGTTCAAAAAATAAGTGCAGCAGAAATAAGAATGTTGCGATTATCTTATGAGTATATATTAAAAGATAGGATAAGAAATGAGTGCATCTGTAGTAAATTAGAGGTTGCACCTATTGAGGATAAAATGAGAGAGAATAGATTAAGATGGTTTGATCATATAAAAAGGAGACCACTTAGCGCACCGATTAGAAAAAGTGATAATATTAGAGTTAATAGGGCTAGGAGATATAGAGGTCGACTTAGAATGACTTGGTCAGAAGCAATTAATAAGGATATGATTAAGACTAACGTAATGGAGGAAATGACTCGCAACAGAATGAAATGTAAAAATAGGACCCATGTAGCTGACCCCAAATATTTGGGAAAAAGGCTTGGTTGTTGTTGTTGTATATATATTTTGTTTTTGTCCAACTAATACTATACCCTTTTGATTTGAATCGATGAACCACGTCCTCAAACCTCACCATTTTGATGAATGATTTTTGTTAAATAATGAAAGTGATTACTCCTGGATATTTCTTGACCACCGATATGTCTTACATGCTAATTCTTTTTCACTGTTTTACTAAAATTAAATCCTATATAGTATATATTTTGTTTTTGTTCTATTAATACTATATCCTTTACATTCGAGAGCTTCTCTCCGCCTTTCTACTCTAGAAATTATCTAGTATGACACCACATTATGACAAACCCACAACACGAGAATACACGAAAACCTACCGGATGACCATCCAAAAACATTTTAAATTATTGTCACCAAGCAAATGGCATCTGGTCAAATTTTGATTTTTCACATCTATACCATGTTAAGTCTATGGTGAGATTATTTTACACAATCATGGCCAAGAGGTAAACTGGGTGAAAAACTTAACCAACTTCCTTTTCCTAATATGGTAACACCTAGAACTGCAGACAATAAGGTGTATAGATATAAAGGTATTCATAACTCACACGATGCTTATGCATATGTAATGACATGAAAGAAGTACATAGCGAGTATAAGTACATAAAATCCAATGTTGGAATAAGCTATTCTACTCACTGGAATAGAAAGAAGACGCAGAATCTTGTTCAGCACTTTGATCCGATGAAGTGCATAGCTGCTATTGGAAGGGAGCTTGTTCACTCTCGCCATCTCGGCATGAACAGAAGCCTTTTTGTTCTCGTAATCTGTTTGACTCAGTTTGTTCGTACCCAGATTATTATAGTTTCCGGTGCCATTATTTGACTGATCAACGACATTGTTTTCGTTCATATAATCCATCCTCACTGCAAACTGGAGAATTTTATAACATAGACAAGTAAAAAAAAATATTAAAATGAAAAAAGCGTATTAGCATTCAAATTCAATTGAAAGTTAGCTTCGAATTAGAGGGAAAAAAACTTTGCATATGAGTGACTATGGTAGTTAGGATTCTGCAGCACAATCTATAGTAGCCGAAGAGCAAGACCAATGTCACGGGGTTCATAAGACAAATAGACTATAGTACCAAAAAAAATCACCCAGTGAGAGAAGTTCAAAGTTCACAGGGGTTTTGTGAGACAGCCTAAAGTTCAGGAGGTTTAGTAGAATAAAAAAAAAGTTCAAGGGGGTTATCCACAACACTCCCAAAGTTCAGCGGAGTTTTCTCGGGTCAAAAGTAGTTTAAGGGGATTATCTGCAACACCCCCAAAGTTTTTTTTTTTGGTTTTTTTTTTTGTTGGGGGTTCTGAAATTATCCCTTAGAAATACAATGACATGCGTTTTGGACAGTGCATAACCATGCTAATCTCTAAAGTCTGAATCAAGTCCATTAATTAAATGATTATAACCTTGATCAAGTATCTAGCTATCTCAAATTCTCAAGCTTTTAACATAAAAATGCCGTGAGAAAAAACTCATCATTGAATGAAATTGCTTTCGAATTTCCAGAATTTTATTGTTCCAATCGAGAATTCCCATTTCCCTTTAAAAATTTCAAGAACAGGATAGCAAATCAAGTGAAACCCTAATCAGCAAACAACAAAGCTAATACTTTAAACTAACAACCAAAGAAAAACCTCATCAACTTCTTACAAATCGTTTTCTTCTATTAGATCAAAGCCCACGATTTCTAATTAATATCCGAAAGAACCCAAATCAATTTTAACAAAACACGTCCAAAATTATAAGAAATATCATGATATTGTAGAATTAAAAGTATTTGCACATACGTACCTGATCAAAGCGAGAAAAAAAAAATCGCACTTGCCTCTCGGAATCCTTCGGAAGCTCGTGGGTTGCGTGTGGGCATCGACCTGCCCCCCTAGTTTAAGGCTGCTGATGGGGGAAAGGGTTGGGCCTTGGTCAGTGGGCTTTGATTCTGGGCTGGAGCCCACATAAAGCAAATGCACGTGCAAAGATAAATAGATGCAGGACGTAAGTGCGAAATCTCCATGCAATTACGAAGAGAAGTATCGTACTAAATATGGTTTTGACAAGGGTATGGATGCATAAATCCGAACAAGACGAAATTAATCCCACTTGATGATCTCACGAGAACTCGGGAGCTTCGTCGATCGTCGATAGGAGGTAACTCTAGGGTTTCCACTAAAGCAGGGTTTTCTCGGATTATTTTTCCTAATTTTTCTTCTCTTCTTCTTTTGTATTGATTGAGCATCGCGATTCTAGATCAGTTGACGGGTTAGGGTTTCGTCCGTGATTATTGCTGACGAGGGCCGTTTTATCTTCCCAATCTCTGCAGGATTTGTTTCGATCGGCTCATCAATGGCGGCGGAATCGAAATCTGTGGCCCTTGAAGGTAATCTAGGGTTTGCATCGGCAATTTTCTACATTTTTTTTACAGTCTTCTTTTGAAAAGGTCCAACTTTCGTTAGTTTGTGACTCATGATGCCAATCGCTTTGGTTTAAGATTAGCTCAATTTTGATTAGTTTGCTTTTAAAATGTTCTTTAACTTCAGGTTTGTGCAAGATGAGCATGGATACTCCTTTTGCACTTCGTGGTATTGGTTGGAAACTTCACACTCCTTATTTTGAAATAACAACTTTGAAAATAATTGAAAGCATTTCTTCGATTCGTTATGTCATGCATGATGGACAAATTTGTCTGTGATCTAGGCTACCTTGCTGGAGCCAATTCAAAGTACCAAATGATGGGTGGGCTTCAGAGTTCAAGATTTTCGAGTGGTCCGTCCATTGTGGGCCCAACCAAGCTGAGTGCTGGACTTTGCGGAAGCAGAGCTCTCCATGGGAGCCAGGTTCTGGCCGAATCCTCCAAAGGAGCTTTCTTGAATCGCCCATTGTCACCTCATTTGGCTCTTAAGAAGCCACAGCTTAGTGCAACCTATTCCATTTCCCATCGTATTTTTGGAGCTGTTTTAGCTGGTGGGATCATGCTGATCCCAATTGCTATGAAGTTCAGTCTCTTGTATGATGTATGAGAGGCAGTGAATATGTTGCGCTTGCTTCATATGGTGCATTTTCTTGAAATCTCATTACCGGCACAAGTTCATAATAACCTTTCTGGATCAAACGAACAAGTAATTGCTGTCTGCTTGTTTTTCTGACATTTGCAAACTGTAATGACCGAGAAATCGGTGGATGATGTAATAATGATTGTATTGTTTAAGACGTTTAGTGATTGCATATTTATATGCAACTTTCCTGGTCTTTTGTATGCACGCGATCTCGCTCTTGAGCCATGTTTTAGAATCATGTCATCTTGAGTGTTCATGTGGTGTTTGGCTCCAGGGCCCTTTCTTAAGAACAAGCTGAACATCTGTGGGAGGGAAAATAAATTAAATGAGTATAAGTGGAAATCTTACTTGAATCCTTGCTTTTTCTTATCTGCATTGGCTTGGGTCAACTGAGCACTTGTATTTAGCTTTTTGGTCATTTAGTGTTGCTGCACAAGGGTGTTCTGTTCAGAGAATGCTTAGTACATGATGTGTATAGCTGACATTTATGCTTGATGCATTTATCTTATTTCATGGCATTGATCATACTTCTTATTGTAGCTTGGACAAAGTCCTGTGACAGCGTGTGGCAACCTGCGGGATCATGATCTTGTATTATCGTTGGAAAGGTATCCTGTTTCTACATCTGTTTCAGGCACAAAATTTTTCTGCCCCTTGATTAGTTCTTGGGTATTGATTTAATTAACTGAGAAATGAACGCACACCATCAAATATGCCCTTTATGTTGATAGTTCATAGATTTTTCCTGCTCAATTGTGGCATTTTCCATTTTATTACTATTGCATATAAAATTTTTAGGCAAATTCTATTAACATAACTCTTTATGAGCAAGTATATGAACTGCAATAATGTTATTACGTCGAAGTTGTTTAGTGTCACTCATTTATGAAAATTTTCAGAATGAGGATCCTCAAGAAGAAGCAAAAGACGGACCCACCATCATGATTCTAGTTGGAATGCTAATACAGGTAAGTATACTAGAAGCAGCAGATATCGAAAGCTCCTGACATGAAAAGCAATTCCTGATGGGAGAAATGTGTTCAACACTCTTAAAAAAAGAGAAGAAAAAAAAGGAAGGTAACCTTTGGGCTTGAAAGGTAGCAGTTACTTATTTATTGTACAAGTGTTTGTGTAGGCATTTCTTTTAGTGGTTTGTCTTCAGGTTGTAAGATGTTCATCATGTGAATTGGATTTTGTCAAATACTTATACAGCATATTCGCTTGGGCACCATATAAGATACTGACAAAATATGTCTAAGTTTTCCTCAGTATAGCCCTTCCCATCTTGGACACTAATTTTGTTTAGTATAGCTCTGTTTAGATTCTTATTTGAATACTATACCCTATGCATATTATTTTTATTGTTGATACTTAATCTTCTTTTTAATTCATCTCATGCCTTAACCTATTTAGCTGTTCGCGTTTAGTGTTAGTGTTTTTTTAATCAATGATTGACTTCTTGAGCTATAAAGAAAATCTTTTTATTGTTTCAATCTGTGATATTTTATCGACTTCACCTTTTACATGCATTAGATTAGATTAGATAAAGAACGCATAGTTTATGTTTGTTGCAATTGAATATTCTTCCTTGTATGTTTCATACCATCTTTTGTACCTTCAACTTCTGTGCTGAGAGTAGATACCATCAAAAAGTTTTGTCGGTATTCTAGAAAGCTGCTTAGTTCCTTCAACTTCTGTGCTGAGAGTAGATACCATCAAAAAGTTTTGTCGGTATTCTAGAAAGCTGCTTAGTTGCTTTTTATGTATTCTTTCGGAAAGTTACCATCAAAAAGTTTTGTCGGTATTCTAGAAAGCTGCTTAGTTGCTTTTTATGTATTCTTTCGGAAAGTTGGTTACGTGTAGAAGAAAAAGCATATGAAACTTGTGTTTTGGAAGGTAGTACAATAACAATGAACAGACATGAATGCCAGTTGACTTGTAGGATACATTCAGATTTAGTTTGTTTCTCAAGGAAAACCGATTTAGGTCAAGCCATCGAAAAATTTAGTTCATTATGTGTTTCGTGTTTTCTTATTTATTCAATACAATGTAACGTACATATTTAGACTGCTGGCGATCCAAACTTCCCCAGTCATTTCCAGTCAAGCTGCATTATTTCTTCAAGATAGACACGACTCATTTGAGTTTTTTTTTAGTTCTTTAGACTGTTAACTTTATTGCTACTTGTTTTAGTCTAACAGAATATGAATATGAAGCTTTGTTCTGTCCTGCAGAATACACAAGTCTCTGGAGGAGCAAAAGGCCACGAACTTCAGATTATCGGATCTTAAATGTAAGGTTTCTCATCATTCGAGCTCCTAATCATCATTTAGTCACATGTAGTATCTCCAATCTAATTATTTCTTTAACTTCTATAGAACTTCTTAGTTTGACGTCTTAATTCCTAAAAAAACTTGTTAAGAACAATATTTCAGCCTAAAGAGCAGAATATTTGTGTTGCCCGTGCTGGCCACATTGACTTTTTAGCCTACTTCCAAGATAATACAAAAAATGACAAGCGTGACAGGTTGTCTGAGTTTTTGTATTGAAGAATCTCAAGCTACTTACATAATAATGCCTTTTTTATTCATGAACATGACTAAAACCCTTTTAAAATGGGGGGAAAATATTTATATAAAGGGGAAAACTTAAAGGAGCACCTTAGCCTATAATTATCTACCAACATCACCCACCAGCAACCCATTTATATTCCCGTTTGAACTCTCCCAATCTCTAAACTTTTCCCCTCTCTTTCTCTCTCCAACTCTTGTGTTTCTCTGGTTCAAAGAACAGCAGCAAAATCAATCAATGGGTCTCATCTCAATCCTTGTTGACGGTTTTATTCTCCTTTTCTCTGTACTTCTCTCCCTTGCCTTCCCTTTAATGGACTCCCAAACCATTGCCCCTTCTTATCTCCACCCTTCATTTCTTGTTGAGTTCAAGCAACAATATGAGCGAGACTATGGGGACTATCTGATGAAGGAGATGCCACCATTCTTTGTTGGGCTTGTTTGGGTCGAGGCCTTGTTCCTCTGGCCTCTAGCTCTTCTCAACGCTTACGGGATTCTTAGTCGCAAGAAATGGGTTAGGACCACTTTGATCATGGCTGGTGTTGGTTCTGGCGTTTCCATGGTAAGAAATTACATCTTGGCGTCTTTTGGTTCTGATTTGAGTTTTTACTTGAGAAACGACGCTGTTTTACTGTAATGCTCCTGACCCATGTCAGAAAATCTGTTCTTGGTAATGGATTCATTTGTTTTAAGATTGACAGCTGAATATGCTCAAAACTTGCAATATGTCAAATGTTTCTCTTCTTTATTGGTCGTCTTACTACTGTTGATCTTTGCTTTTAATTGTAAACTACACTTGATTAGTTTTATAGTAATGCCACCCTGAAAGATATATACTTGGTACCCAGATCAGAAAGAACTGATTTGTATGTGTGTGGGTGTAAGTTTGTTATTGGTTATCAGTTTATTAAAATGAATTCGGGTCCTGGTGTATTGCAGTCAACATGTGGGTTTGGCTGTCCTATTGCCTTATCAATGTTATCATGTAGATCCATAGTTCTATAGTTTATAGATAGCTTGAGCAGCGCAAAATGTTAATTTTATTATTTATGATGATCTTTCCTGAAAATATCAATTTGCTAGCTTATTATCATAGTTAGGCCGACCACAGATAGTTTATTATCATAGTTAGCTTCAGCTTCGGTTACACTCCTGTAGACTATGCTAGTTTAAAGTAATGCGGGGTACCTAACCTTTTATCTTTTCTGAATTTTGATTGATTTGCTATTTTTGATTTTATTTCTTATTTCAACGCCTAATTGTTGATTTCACTGCTTAGTAGAAGATCTAGTTTTTGCCATGGATATCTCCAGCTTTATGTGGTTCAACAAGAATCCTTTGAATTTGTTATTAATTTGATTAATGATCTCGTCATTTAGTTGTTTAAGCAGTGATGATTTATTTGATTTTTTGTGAACAGTACATACTTTTAAAAAAAAATCTTTGAACGAAGTAGATGCTTTACCCCTTAACACATCAATTTTGGGCTATCACTAATGAGAGTCAAACCTGTATTTTACATCACAAATTACTCTAATACGCCAAACTTTGGCTTTTGGGTTGTAGAACCCTTACTTTTTGTTTCATATTATTTACAATATCTTTGGTGTTTGATAATTTCAGGCTAGTATTATGTCAGAGCTACTGGGTTCGGGCAGAGAATCAAAGAAACTGGTTCAGATGTACTCCCCCTTTGTGGTTTTCGCAATCTTGGCGACTCTCAGAGGGCTCTTTCCTCCTCGTTATTGTTCGATCTCTGCTTCCAACGCACCTCCTCCTGCTCAGAAGAAGAGGGTTTGATCAATCAAGCGCCATTTATTCGGCGCCATTTATTACCTCCATGTTCCTTATAATATTAGTTTTATATCTTAATGCATCTTTGGAAGCCTTATTTTCTTGAGGAACAGTTGAAATGTTTTCCGTGTATTATTACGCGTACTTTTGGAGTTATGGTTGCCTTCAGGTTTATGTCTTGTTGATCTTTGTAACATGTCATGTATTAGTAAAATGGATTAATAGGTCAACTTGTTTGTTGGTAGAACATTGTACCTACTGTATCATTTTTTTTCTTGTTCATTATTTCATTAAGGTACTTTCTTATGTAGACATTGTAGACAAGCAAAAATTAATTATTCTGTTGCTGAGCTAATATAATCATAGTTAAATGTCACTCTCCTTGATTTTAGTCGTTCGTAATGATCTTCTTGTTTATATTGTTGTTTGAACCTAAAAAATTTAGAATGATGGGTAAATCTCATTAAACTCCAGTAAGTTTGGGCCTTGTGACACTTTTGACTCCGAAACTTTTAGAATTAACAAAAAATGGTATACATAAGAAAGTAGTTTCAAACTTTTAGAATAACAAAAATGGTATCATATTTGGGAAAATAAATAAATAAATAAATAAATAAATACCCTCACCTCACTTGGGAAAGATCAACAGAAATAGTTTCAAACTTCAAAAGTGAAACCAAATTGAAAAAAGAAATCTAACAGACTCTTTGTACGTTCCCTTGGTAGTTCGACTATAGCACTCTGCCAGGTGCCGTGATATATACGCACATATATAGCTCATACGTACGTAGCTAGTATAATATGATTCACAAAAATTAATTAGTACCATATTAATTATTGACAGGGATGCCCCCTCGCCACATTAATTATAATTAAGCTTGGATCAGAGATATGCAGGCCAACCAACGTAATGCATGACCAGCGACACTCCAGCAGAAAGCAGCACTACGAATACCATTGAGACGGATAACCCCACGAATCATCACCAAGAGCAAGCAAGCACGTCGATCTGCAAGGGATTTTTTTTTTTTTTTTTTTTTTAAGGGGGGGGG